TAGTTGTGGTTGTTCCGTATCGCCGATCACCATCATAGGCAAGTGTCCACTGTTGTGCTGGAATATCAGCTACCCACTTCCATGCTTCAGGATTTATACTTTTAATTTCTTCCATTATCAAATTAAACTTGGAAATCTGATGTGCTGTCCCAGCCTTCCACACTTGATCTTTCAAATACGTGTTATTGTAACGTGTGTTGAAATTGCTTTGTACATGTCTTAGATAGAAACGATGATAGGCATATGACTCATTTCCACCCAGAACCTTGTTTCTTAACCACTGAAATTATACCTTTATGTTGATCTGAGATTAAGCATATACCAGCTTTATTTAGCACAACAGAGTGACGTAGATGATGATAGGAACCAACCCCAGCTTTCACTAGTCTCCTCATGAACAAAGACAAATGCTAGAGAGAAAATCTGCTTTTGAGCGTCAATCCTAGTAGCAATAAGAAGCTTATGCTTGTACTTGTCATTTACAAATGTGCCATCAATGCTGATTACAGGCCGACAATGAACAAATCCATCAATAAAAGATTTGAATGCCCAGAACACCTTTCCAAATATATCGAATTTGGGAGCACGAGCCTCATATTGCCACTTTACAATCGTCCCAGGGTTGTATTTCACAAGAGCACCCATAAACCTCGGCAACATGTTGTAAGAACAATCTCAGTCACCGAAAACCTTAACTATAACCTTATTCTTCGCATTCCACGCCTTCTTGTACGTTATCAAATAATGATACTCTTTTTTCACCATTTCAATGATGACAAACATTGTTACATCAGGTGTAGCCCAAACCACACCCTCAATCCATTGAGAAATAAAACCTGCATCAAGCTAACAGTGGTCCTGGTTTAACCTTGGGTAGAAACAAGTGTGAGGTGCCTGATATTTTGTGATCTCAAACATTCTATGATTTGCCTTCAGCACCGCCCATAGCCTCCATTTGCATCCACATTGTGCATACATCTTGCACCTCAACACCCAACGCGTTTTATTTGTATCAACAACAACATATTGTTGGTGCATCTTAATTGAATACAATTTAACTGCCATCTTTAGGTCGTTTTTACTCTTGAACACCACACCCTTAGCCAATTCTGGTCTTGTAGGATCCCATGTTTTAATTCCATGCAAAATGCACAAACTGTCAACTTCATTCTAGTTTCCCGATTCAACATTTGAGAAAAATGTTGACTCGGCCTCATGCATAGGAACCTCACCATCATCCTCAGCAGAATTACCTGCAGCATCATAATCATCATCATTAGAGTCATCACTCAATACATTTTCTAGAAACTCTTCTTCTTCATAGTAATCATTTTGGTCATTTGCACACATTCCTTCATATATATTATTAGCAATTTGATGCAGTACAAGTGCTTGGACAGGGTCCATTAGCGCTGGTGTTGGGGTAACTGTAATCATTTACATCCCCTCGTTCCCCAGTCCAACACTATACTCTTGCTGAGATGAGCTATCAGGAAAACTACTAGGCCCTGTTTCAGCATATGCATGTGTATATCGATTGTATTCTTCCATACACTGCATTGTTAAAGGGGTGTAATAATTACCCACCATGGCTGAAGGGTTGAGCACTGGGATATTTGGTTGTTGGTTGAGCATGGAAGTGTATAAACCAACATCAGGCCAACCTTCATTACTTTCACAAATGTCATCTGCCCTAACCTCTTCGCTAACATACAAATCAACTTTGTTGACACCTTGATTATCAAATACAACATCCACCATTGCCTCCACACCATCGTTGTCAACAACTTCTACTGGAATATATGTAAACAAGTTAGTTCCCAATGCAGTAGGAAACCTACAGATAAGTTTGAGGTTGTATCTATTCCTATCTATCCCCGTCACATCATGTAACCTATCCACCAATGCCGAGTATGTTGTGTCATGTGAAACTTTTATCACACGCTTATAACCATGATCATGTCGTAACACATCATGATTCTTGAATATGCTACCACCCCAATAAATCATCACAGAAGCACGTCTTCCAGCCATTCTTAACAATTCTACAATAAATACATCAAAAGTTAGTGTGTATAAACAACCAAAACTTTTGCTTTCATCGAAACTTTTACTTGTTCATGTTTTGAAATGTAAATAAACCGGGTAGCCCGTTCTAATTTTCAATCACCCAATATTAATGAAGGAGCACATTAAGTACATAAAATGGTTGGCACTTACATCAGGAAAGTAATCTATTAAAACTGCTAAAATATTTTGAAAACTTTACAAAATGAACTCGCCAATTCTAATAGAAACTTTTGTGTCCCTCCTCCTAAATTAAGTTCGATATGCTTCAGTCAATTAATACCTTAATTATTAGGACTCCAACATTGTGCAAAATAGACTACACTCATTCATTCAATCGTAACTAGTTTGGGGGGAAGAGATGGAAAAGTATAGGAAAAAAAAATGAAAAAGTATAGAAAAAAAATCTGAAATTAGAGCACAAGAGTGACTAACTTTTATAGAGAATGCAAAAAAATTGAATTTGATACCTTTGAATTACCAAAAGTCAAAATAAATACATCGAATAACTCCTAACAATTTTCCCATATGGGATTATACATTGAAATATTGTATACAAGTTAAACTAAATACCGCAGAGAGAGAGAGTAATTTGTTTGAAATAAATCATTAAGAACTGACTTAAACAAAATCTAGACTCACAATGGTATTATTGATTTTACTTTTTCTTACGGGTCTACTGCACTTGGAATGACGATTTCAAAAGATAATTGTTTGTGTGCGATTGTATTTTGATTTCCTTGTTTAACATAAACACAATCACACCCATTTGACTTATCACTTCTCTCAAAAATTTCTTGTATTAATAAAAAAAAATTACAAAAATGATATTTTCACTGACATTATATAACTATCCCACAACTACTTTGGCATCATGTCTATTGCATTTCACACGTACAAAATAATGGCTTTATCAAAAAATCATGATTCAATCCCCAACTGATGAAAATGAGTAATAAATTATCCGGCGAACTCTCTACATCAGTGATTGATCTAGGTTTAGAAATTTTAACTAATACAAAGAGCATGGGTTAGAGTAAGTAGGCCAAATATTTACGCATCAATGCTGATGAAATGATCCCGAAAGAGTACAAATTATTTTGGTACTTATTTCTCAACAAGTATGCAATCCACGAAAATAGGTGGGATTTAACCTGGAGAATGAACATGGAGCAACATGTCGTCCCTAAAAACAGTGAGACATTAGTGCATCATCCAAAAAAAAATTTGATCACAGTAAATTCATCACGAAACTAAAAGTAGTGGATGACTATATTTATTCTTATTCAACTGCTGGTGCTGGGTCTTTCTCTATTTCTTTCTCCTTTCCTTTAAATATTATTTAGATGGAAAGAAGCCTAGTATATAGTGATTTCCATGTACATGGTGTGTAGAATTATCATGATGGTAGTTCTGATCTCAGAACTTCCAGACTCAACTGAATCCACATTATCATGTACAATTATCATATAGAATTATCATGTTTAGGGAAAACCTCCAGACTCAACTCAATCCACATTATCATGATTGGAGCTCCGATCTCAGAACTTCATATACAAAACAAAAGTCAAGAGAAGATGTAGAAGTCTTGTTAAATGGAAATAGTTCCAGTTTGCTTATATCAAAGTGAGCATAAAGATTGAAAATTTCTCAAGTCCACAACATTAATTCTCATAAATAATTCAAATTTCTCATTCAAACAACAAAGCAAATCAAAAGTACATATGACAGACATATAAATCTACTAAATATCGAATAAAACATAAAATCAAAGCAAAAATTTAGATGGTATGCACGTATATTAGAGTGTATAGACACTTTTATATAAAACATCGAGTTTTTTTGGGACGACATCTATGACAATAAACATCGATAGACACTTGCGACTTACCCGTGAAGCTAAAATCAAAAACCAGCGTATGTCAGGGAACGATACGTTCACTACCAAGTCTGTTTTACTTATAAATTTTATGAAATCCAAATATTTGTCCTTAGTGTTTCACGTAATTATTAAACAACTGAATAGAGGAAGAAAAGTCATATTATTATGTCATTGCTCTCTTTTTCTATTATTCTAGGACATCAGGGGCAATGGTTCACATGAATGATTTGCACCCAAGAGGCAGATTTTAAATTCTGAAATAATTTGACAAATATTGGTTATGACAAAATTCGATTTAGGGCAAAATTTTGAAATAATTCTGAGATTTTAAATTCTGACATAATTTGACAAAGATTGATTAGGACAAAATTCAATTTAGGGCAAAATTGAATTTTAGGGCAAAATCTAAATTTGGGTAAAATCGGATTTAGGGAAAAATTCGATTTTGGACAAAAAATAGTTAGGGCAAATATGGAGAATGGACAATGTACTCATTGCTCACCTGGTGGAAGTCGCTGGTCACTGATGGTGGAGGCTGTGGTGGCTGTGATCGCTGGTGGTGGAGGTTGTGATCGTTGTTTGAAGCTCGTTGGAGGCTGTGGTCGTTGGTTGGAGCTCGTCGGAGTGTTGTCCGGCTAAGAGTGGTTGAGGCGGAGGAGAGTTAAGTGAGAGTAGTGTGATATTTGAACTTAATTTAAGTAGTCTGTGATAGTTGAATAACATGTGATATAATATTTGAAATAAATTTGAATGTTAAAATCGTCATTGTAAATGACGTTTTTTAAATCGTCGTTTAAAATGATATTTTTTTCCCTTTTATAAATTTTAAAGTCTGTTATTACTGTTTAAAAAAATTATGTGTAAAAATGTCATTTTGAACAATGACTTAAAAAATGTCATTATCAATGATATTTTCAAAAAAGAAAAATTTAAATTTAAATTGTTATTTGAAAATTTTAAATATTAAATTGTCATTTTAAATGACATTTTTAAAAAGAAAATTAAATTTGAAAGCGACTAGGATGATTAAATTTTGAGAGGCGTGGGTTTCGTCAAAAGCTCAAAAAGCTACTCAAGCTCTGAACAAAGCCAATCTGGTGAAATGGCAGAGAAGCTCACACACTTTCTTCCACTCATTCTCTCTCTCATAATACTAGCCGTCGTCGTCCGAGGTCAACCAGTGACAGGTTCTGTCTCAGATGGAGTCAGTGAAGCTCATCAACCGCCGTTTCTACTTCTTAACGGCTTGGTTCCATCGGAAACCTGTGAAGAACCATATGGTTTTATGCCCTGTAGCAACACTATCGTCGGAAATATATTCCTCCTCCTCGTGTATGGGTATTTAATTTTCTCTGCGGCGAGGTATTTGTCGGATGGAAGTGAAGTTCTGCTGGAAATTCTTGGCCCCGGCATTGTTGGTGGTCTCATCTTGCCGCTGCTTAGTTCTCTTCCCGATGCTGTTATCGTTCTAGGTACTCTTTCTCTCTCTCTCTCTCTCAAAAATGAAAGTTCTTATTTGGGTTTGCATTTAGTCAGCTCACATTATCATTTAAACAGGGCCAAATAAAGATTCAATGCGAATGATTAGAATCAACCAAAAACTTGTTAGGATTGATCCTTGTTTTTTCAGGGCAATGAGTTGTAATATAACCCGATTGAGGTAGAACCGTAGTTTTTTCTTCCCCTATAGTTCCTACCGACCAAAAGAAATGAGAAAATTTTTGAAAAGACGCCGACGACTTGGAAGATATTATGGTTCTGCAAAATTGTTTTTTATTCTTGAAAATTTTAAAACATTTAAAATATGTTTATTTAATATTTTTGTTCTCAAAATTTAAAAAAAAAAATGAGATTCGAAACACAAGCCTAGCATGTTTTTTGGATTTTATTTGAAAATTTTGAAAACACAAAAAATGCAATGATCTTTTTTCTGTGCATTCATTGTATCGAGATAAAAGCTTCTTTTTTTTTCCATTCTTTTTCCCTTATGTCCCTCTGACCTCTCTCCCTCTTGTGCCAACACCATGACTGTGTCTTCAACCCATAAATCCGGTGACAGGAAGCATAGATCCGGCGACTGGAAACACAGATCCGGCGACTGGAAGCACAAATCCTTTGGTGGTGGTTGTGGGTGTTGGGTGTTGGTTGTGGGATGTTGGGTGGTTCTCGGTGTGGGTTGGTGGTGGTTGTGGGTGTTGGGTGGTTCTCGGTTTGCGTGGTGGTGGTGGTTGTGGGTATTGGGTGGTTCTAGGTGTGGGTTGGTGGTGGTTGTGGTTGTTGGGTGGTTCTCGGTTTGGGTGGTGGTCTTGGTGATGAGTTTGGGTGGTTCTCGGTTTGGGTTGATGGTGGGTTTGGGTGGTTCTCGGTTTGGGTTGATGGCGGTTGTTGGGTTGATGGTGGTTGTGGGTGTTGGGGTTGATGGTGGTTCTCGGTTGTGGGTGTTGGGTGATACACAGTGAGAGAGAGAGTTGAGAAAATGTGGGGGAAATTATAGATTATTGTCCAAACAAATTTTATAATTTTTATTTTTTAAAACTATTTTAAAAAATATATAACCACACATGTTTTGTAATATAAAAATTTTTAAAAACACTTTCTTAAAATTCTTCTCAAAAATAGTTTTCGAATACTTTTTTTTGAGATGTAAACCAAACATGCCCAATTTGCTCAAAGTTCTTATTAGAATTAGTTTTGGTTTGTTACCCACTGGTAATTTTAATTTGCTCAAAGTTCTTTTGGCAATAGGCTTGTCAGAGTTAGATCAGAATGAATGCTTCACTTTAAGAAACTGATTACAATGTAAAAAAAAAAACTGCAACATCTAGTCCTCGTAAAAAATTGTTCATGTTCATACAGAAAAGAAATTACAGTTCATTCATGTATTTTAGCTTGCTATTCGCTTCATAATCCCTGTGGAGCGGATAGAGGAATGCAAGTTTAAGAAGGATTAATCGGGTACTTTGGGATTTATGGATACTTAATCAAACTTATGATAACATGTCTACAAAACTGGATTCTGGTACCATTTCCCGTAGTCACCCAATNGAAAAGAAATTACAGTTCATTCATGTATTTTTGCTTGCTATTCGCTTCATAATCCCTGTGGAGCGGATAGAGGAATGCAAGTTTAAGAAGGATTAATCGGGTACTTTGGGATTTATGGATACTTAATCAAACTTATGATAACATGTCTACAAAACTGGATTCTGGTACCATTTCCCGTAGTCACCCAATATCCCATTTGATTGTTGATTCGTCGTGTGGGTGAAAAAGAAATTTAAGTCACCTGCTTCAACATATAGTTGGAAGCAACATCAAATAAAGAACTAAGACTGACCATAATTTTAACCATAATTTTGGGAACGATTTCTGACATTTTATCTAGAAAGAAAGAAATCTAATTTCGTAAATTTTGGCTATATAGATGATTAGGCCTTTTATTAGTTTGGTTTTTTGACATATACGTTGGATGTTGGTGCAGCATCTGGACTCTCTGGAAGCAAAAAAACTGCTCAAGTTGAGGTATCAGTTGGAATGGGATTGCTTGCTGGATCAACTGTTATGGTTCTGACCGTAGTGTGGGGATCCTGTGTTTTGGTCGGAAAATGTGATTTGGTGAATTCTGTCGCACAAGATTCACAAGATACAAAAGGACTTAGCTTAACTGGTATTTCCCTCTTCTAAGCTGAGACTGTTGTGTGAACGTATGCTTAAATGTGGAAATTTATGTAAATTTGCAATGAGATTGAAGCACAGGATGTGACCAAAATGACATGCAAAAATACTTTGCATTATTGCCCTATTCATATGATCGATGAAACAGACTGAATGATGGAAGTCTGTCAGTTCTTTAGGCTCATGTTAGAGTTATCCTATTTGGCTACTCACTATGATCTTTTTGAACCTAAAAATTCTATTATCTGGGTGATATGCTTGACAACCTTATGTATCTTCCCTATATTTCAGGGTCTGGTGTAAGTACTGATATCTGGACATGTTATACCGCAAGGCTTATGGTTGTGTCTGTTGTCCCATTCATAATTGTCCAACTGCCGCTGTTATTTTGGACTAACTTCCAAAATCGCATCGCAATCTTGATTTCGTTCTTCCTCTCCATTTGTCTATTGCTTTCTTATTGCCTTTATCAGGTACATCTGCTTGAACTTATGAACATTTTTTCTTGAGTGGATGTTCATGTTTGTTTTTTCAGAAGCCGAAAGCCAGTTGGATTCTCATTTTTCATTTCTTTGCATCTCCAAGTACTTATGCTGTGTTGTAAAAATATTGGGATGGATGCAATAATCCAGTTGAATATAAAGAACAGAGTACTTACCGGTTGAGGCATGAAGAATCACTTCCCTTAAAGATAACTTTCACCCCTTAGGACAGAGTACTTATTGGTGCAGTAGGACACTGGCATCAACCCTCCATGATACAACTACTTCTTCTAACAATCGTGTACTTTCTTGTGAATTGTTTTTGCAGGTCTTTCAGCCCTGGATTCAAAGGAGAAGACTTGCTTATGCAAAACATAAGCATGTAATAGCAAGAGTTCTAAAACATTTGAAGATGCGTGCATTGGGAAGGCTTTTTAGCGAGGACGGAAAACCTAATACAGAAGTGATAGAAAAGTGAGGCTGTTACTGTTTCCAACTAATCTCTTGCATTTGAATTTCTCTGTTAATTACTCTAATCATGTATTGTCTTGTATGATGCTTATTTATATGAAATATGTGATGCGTAATACTGCATGTGCCAAGATGCATAACATAGCTAAGACAGGAGAAGTATTTAGTTAACAAACTTACAGTTTACAAAGTAATAGAAGACGGATGCTACTTTTACTTTCATTGTGTCCTGAGTTTATCCGATGGTTGACATACTGAGTGAATGATTGCGAAGGCATGACCCTTGCAATTGGTGTATATTACTTCTTTAGTTCTATGAGCTTGCCCATTTATCCACCTTTCAATTCCCTCTCTCTGGCAAAAGGAGGGGTTGGGGATTGGTGTTGTTGAATTTGTATGTAGGCAGGGCAAACTTTGTGGCCCTACTGTGGAACCATGATTACTCAGTTCCAATAAACCACACCCAGCCATTGTCAAAATAGTTGCCATTGTTCAGTGGCAATTGTAGTAATGCTCAGACGCTAATCGTTATAATACGATATTGAGTCTGAGAGCAGCCATACTATCCAATTATGGCTAAGTTTGGGTCTATCTCGAGATTACTCCTAGCACTACCGCATGGAGGGACCATGATGGCTAGTGAACATTTTTTCTTCTTGTATTGCTGTTTGATGAAGTGTTCAAATTTAACCGGTCCCTTTTCATGGCTATAATGACAGGCTCTTTAACACCATTGATGAGAATTGTGATGGATACCTCTCAGCTTTAGAGCTAAGAGCACTAATTATAGGAATTGAGTTTGAGGACATAAATCTAGATCATCACGATGCTGTGGACAAAGTGATGAAAGAATTTGATACTTCTCGTGATTCACAGGTTGATATGAATGAGTTTATCAATGGAATTTCTAAATGGCTCTCAGAGATGAAAAGCTCTGCAAATTTTCATGAGGATCACAGAAAGGAAATGAAATTAATATCGGACTTTCATATGGTATGTATATCATCATACCAATTGTGACTTTCACTACCCTCTACTTTTTTAAGTTCTATGACAACTTAAACATGTATGCAGCAAACGAAGAGGGAGCATGATCTGTTGGGAGATCTCGATGATGAAGTTGCAGAAAAAATAGAAAATCCCATGTATAATGCCTTGAAAGCAGTATTGATGTTACTTCTGGGAACTGCTATTGCTGCAGCAATTGCTCATCCCTTTGTGGATGCTATCAGCAACTTCTCCTCTGCTACAAGTATTCCTTCCTTCTTTGTGGCATTCATTATTCTACCATTTATTCGTTCAAGTGAGGGACTGGCAGTTATCATCTTTGCCTGCCGCAAGAAACAGAGGACCGCATCCTTAACATTTTCTCAGGTTTGCTTCTTCCGCTGATAAATTTTAGATTAGGAGAGAGAAACTAGACAAAATGTAAGAACACAAGAAAACAAGGGTTTTCACGTGGTTCAGCTTAAGAACTATATCCACGGACCAAATGCCCAGAAGAAATACGACTTCTTGTTGATTCTTGGTTAATTTGCAAACATGAATGACAACCATATAAATATGAAATACAAGTACATCTCACAAGTGTAGGGATTGAGATAGAACAAGTATCCAAAATTACAGCACAAATAAAGGTGATTTGGTTGGTCCGGGTCACTATTTTAGCTTCAACATCCTCCAAAGAAAGAATGATGAGGGGAACTATCACACTCCATCCCGGGAAAGAGATAGAGTGTGGTTATTCTAAAATTGTTTACCTTGAATCCACAATTAAACCAAAGTAGCTAACTTGTACAATAACTTTCAAGCCATTACTTGTTGGAGATATAGTAACTTAGTTTATTAGGGTTTATTAAGTTTTTCATTTTTTTCTTTATTATAACTTTCATTGGCTGTATATACGGGGGCTCTACATTTAGTTTGTATCCCTTTTTCTCTCTTCTATATATTTCAAGTTGGTATCAGAGTCAAACCCTAACCTTAACCTAACCCTAGCCTCCACCAAGATTGCCTCACAGGCAAACTACCTTCAAGCAAAACAGTCACTGCCCACCAACAAAACCACCAATCCAAAGCACTGCCCACCAACCCAGCTACTACCAAAACCACCCTGCCATCAGCCGCCCAACCAAACTGACCTGCGACAGCCTGCTGCATCCCACCGACTGCCCTATACCAAAACCATCTACACCAACTGTCCCATACCAAAACTAACCATTGTCTAGGCCACATTGACAGCCTGCGGCATCCCACCGACTGCCCTATACCAAAACCAATCACTGCCCAGGCCACACCGACAGCCTGTTGCATCCCTACTGCACCGAAACATCATTATCTCCAGTTGGGTCACTATTCAGCCCAAACCCAATATACCACAGGCTAGTCCACAGCCCGAACCAGTCCTCTGCTGGGTCACTTACCACAGACTAGCTCATTCATTAGCCCACTGTTGGGTAGCAATTTTTGTGGCTTTGTCCTTCGTATTCTTTGTCACAATACTGCCAGGCTACAGTATCTAGGACTTTTTAAAGAGGGGTTGAATTCTCTTCTTCGTTGATATGCTCTTGATATAGTAGATCATTTATTTATATTTATTAGATTTCTAGGCACCGTGACCTGATTATTTGGGAGCTTTCTGGACCTTCTTTATTTGTCACTACNAGTACTGCCAGGCTACAGTATCTAAGACTTTTTAAAGAGGGGTTGAATTCTCTTCTTCGTTGATATGCTCTTGATATAGTAGATCATTTATTTATATTTATTAGATTTCTAGGCACCGTGACCTGATTATTTGGGAGCTTTCTGGACCTTCTTTATTTGTCACTACTGTTCGACTGGAGGTATATTGTTCTCCCTTATTTTATCCCTCTATTTATTTTAGAGTTGTTTTTCTGTCACGAGTGCCCTAGTATTATTGATGATATGACTACTACTAAGGGAGTTGAGATCTCTACCGTTGAGACATCTGTTAGTACTTCCACCGGGTATGGGGTCCACAGCGCTCAGCCCAACGCCGTCAGGGTACCCTACATTAGCGTAGATATGGGAATTTTCATCAGTGTGATTATTGTAGCTGACTAGGACATCTCAGGGCTACTTGTTGGAAGCTCCATCCGGAGCTTAAGTCGCCTCCTCGCAGCCATATTGCTGTCATTGCTAAGGCACCACCACTTACAGTCATTGCTTCCACTACTACTGCTACTGCTCCTCCTTGGCAAAGTGATATGGATGTTATCACTTCTCGTTTGGATATACTTATGTCAGTCTTGACTTCTCAAGGTTCGACTACTACTACTATCATTACTACAGGTATAGTTCATGTCTTTCATACTTGCGCCAGTCCTTCTTCTCTTTGGATGCTGGACTTGGGTGCTAATGGTCATATGACTGGTGAGACCCATCATTTCACCTCTTTTGACGAGTAGTTACATACTCAAGTTCAGTTAGTAGATAGTACACATGTCCCTATTGTTAGTAGGGGTACAATTCGCCTCCTAGGTGGCTTTACATTACGTTCGCTGTTTCATGCGCCAAAATTGGTCATGATTCTATTATCTGTACATCAGTTAGTCAGAGATTTTCACTGTGCGATTGTGTTCTTATCTAATTCGTGTTATTTGTAGGACTTGAGTACCAGGAGGATTATTATCAAGGGACATGAGAGAGATAAATTGTATTATTTAGGCGATCCACCTCCGGTTTCAGCAGTTTTTTCACCTCCACCTCCATCACCTGCTTTGTCTTTATCTGTTCCTAGCCTACATGCTAGTATTTTACCTAATACTTGTCGTTATGATTTTTCATCACAAATTGTTCAGTTGTGGCATGATCGTTTTGGGCATACAAATTTTAAATATTTATGTATGTTATTTCCTGCTTTGAGCAAAGTTTGTGTTAGTGGTAAACTTGGCTGTGTTATATGTTCCCTATCAAAACATGTTCGGATAAGTTATATTCCTCGCATGCANGGATGTGTTATATGTTCCCTATCAAAACATGTTCGGATAAGTTATATTCCTCGCATGCACCAGTCACCCAAACCATTTGACCTAATACACTCAGATATTTGGGGACCCTCTCCTGTTACTGCTCTGTCAGGTGCCCGATATTATGTGACATTTATAAATGACTATACCCGTTGTACGTGGGTCTACCTTTTGCATAGAAAGTCTGATGTACTCCCTGTCATCACTCAATTTCTTCAGATGATTAAGACACAGTTCGATGTCATTGTTCGTACTCTTCGTTCGGATAATGCCAAAGAATATGTGTCTGATGCCTTAATTTCTCACCTTTCTTCTCAGAGTATCCTTTAGCAGCTCACTTGTCCTTATACTCCTGAACAAAATGGAGTTGCTGAAAGAAAAAATAAGAGTCTGATAGGGATGGTATGTTATATGCTTAGAGGTATGGGGGTACCAAAATCTTATTGGCATTTTTCTTTTTTGACTTCTACCTTTTTGTACAATTGTACATCGAGTCGTGTTCTTCAGCATAAGGCTCCTTTACAAGTTTTATTCCCTGAACGGACACTNGTTTAGAGGTATGGGGGTACCAAAATCTTATTGGCATTTTTCTTTTTTGACTTCTACCTTTTTGTACAATTGTACACCGAGTCGTGTTCTTCAGCATAAGGCTCCTTTACAAGTTTTATTCCCTGAACGGACACTTTTTTCGGTCCCCTCTCGTGTTTTTGGCTGCATATATTTTGTTTAGAATTGGTCTTCTACTCATCATAAGTTTAATAATAAAGTGATTCGTTGTATCTTTGTGGACTATTGTCATCAATCTAAGGGATATCAGTGTTATGATCCTGTCAGGCGACGTATGTATCACAGTCTAGATGTTACCTTCCTTGAGTATATTCCTTATTTTTTTTCTAATCTTGTGTCTGTCCCTCCAGTTGATGATATTCCCTTTGATTTTTCATTACCACCAGAGTCAAAGCCATTGGTCACTATCACTACAGAGTCATCGGTCTCTCCTCCTCTAGAGCCACTTATCCCTTCCAGTACAGAGTCACCAGCCTCTCTTCCTTTGCAGGTTTATGTTCGTCGTCCTCGTTCTCATCCCTTTGCTGATATTTCCTCTACCTCAGGCAATGCAAGTAATACTTATCAGTTCGTTGAGCATATTGATGCACATGTTGTTAGTACTGATGAGATTGCAAGTACTGAGCCAGTTGTTTTACCTGATGAGACATTATCAGTGGAGGATGATGATTTAGGGCGTTGTTATTCGCGGCGTGATCGTCGTCCAGTTGTTCGTTATGGTTGGACTGTCAGGATTTTATATCCGATCTCTGCTTATATTTGTTATGGTGATCTGTCTCCTACATTTCGAACTTATAATATGATCTTATCAGATACGCCGGTTCCTCGCTCTATTTCAGAGGCTATGTGGGAGCCCCAGTGGGTTCTTGCCATGTAGACAGAGATGGACGCTCTTCANCACTTTTTTCGGTCCCCTCTCGTGTTTTTGGCTGCACATATTTTGTTTAGAATTGGTCTTCTACTCATCATAAGTTTAATGATAAAGTGATTCGTTGTATCTTTGTGGACTATTGTCATCAATCTAAGGGATATCAGTGTTATGATCCTGTCAGGCGACGTATGTATCACAGTCTAGATGTTACCTTCCTTGAGTATATTCCTTATTTTTTTTCTAATCTTGTGTCTGTCCCTCCAGTTGATGATATTCCCTTTGATTTTTCATTACCACCAGAGTCAAAGCCATTGGTCACTATCACTACAGAGTCATCGGTCTCTCCTCCTCTAGAGCCACTTATCCCTTCCAGTACAGAGTCACCAGTCTCTCTTCCTTTGCAGGTTTATGTTCGTCGTCCTCGTTCTCATCCCTTTGCTGATATTTCCTCTACCTCAGGCAATGCAAGTAATACTTATCAGTTCGTTGAGCATATTGATGCACATGTTGTTAGTACTGATGAGATTGCAAGTACTGAGCCAGTTGTTTTACTTGATGAGACATTATCAGTGGAGGATGATGATTTAGGGCGTTGTTATCCGCGGCGTGATCGTCGTCCAGTTGTTCGTTATGGTTGGACTGTCAGGATTTTATATCCGATCTCTGCTTATATTTCTTATGGTGATCTGTCTCCTACATTTCGAACTTATAATATGATCTTATCAGATACGCCGGTTCCTCTCTCTATTTCAGAGGCTATGTGGGAGCCCCAGTGGGTTCTTGCCATGCAGACAGAGATGGACGCTCTTCAGCGTAATCATACGTGGGATCTTGTCTCTTTACCTTTAGGGGTGAAGCCTGTTGGCTATCGCTGGGTTTATACCATGAAGTTTCTTATGGATGGTACTATTGATCGTCATAAGGTTAGGCTTGTGGCAAAAGACTTTACTCAGGTACCAAGTCGT